ATAGACTACCAAGGGATCTCAACAACTACAGAATTTCTCGACACAATCAGAGCACTGAAGGTCATTAACACATTTATTATCTTATTCTTCTTTTCTACAGGGCACAATGACAAATTTTATACAGTAGAGACTGTAAGGTAAATTTTCCTTTTTGCATGTTGTACCTCAGGAGGTCCTGTTCCCTGATCCTGGAAAGGAGCAATAAAGAAAAGTGCATTTGATTATTTCAATCTGTCTTTGCTCAGATGTAGCTACTCATGAATATGCGGATATAAATATCACAGTGTCAATCTGTTAGCCTGAAGTGAGACCAAAGACAAATCTACCTGAGATCTGGGGAAACAAGAAGTTGTCTATCTCAGAAACAGTGACAATTGCAGTCAGACTGGTAAAATAAGATGAAAGTGATTGAGGCACAAGAGAAAAAACAGGAATTCTTATCAAAGAGATAATCCTACTACCAAAAAGAACTTGAGACAAATCAAAGATGTCAATGTAAGCAATGCAGACAAGGCAGTGTTACAGATTGTCCCTAGGCTTTGAGGGTGAGGAAAATCTCCTCAAGGTTGGTGTAAAAGCCAAGGAGGACAAGATTGATAAACATGATAATGAATGTTTAACAACTAGACAGGCCAATTTTAACAGGACATAACATTCCAAAAAAGACCCAAATACTAAAAATTTCACATCAAAAACCGCAAGCCAGTGAAAGAGATGAGCTTTCTAATAACAGATAGTGGAAACAGATCTACTCAGATTCACATCTTACTTCTCCAGGATGAACTCTGTATTAATCAAGTTTTAAATACCATCAGGCATTGCTGGCTGATGGTCGGTAGTGGGCCACTGCGGTGGGCCCAGCAGGCTGTGCCATACAACCAAGGTTGTGCAGCAAGCTGTGCCATATAGGGGTGTGTTATTACACACATGATGTGCAGAGAAAAATCACCTAATAATACATGTCTCAGAATGCACTGTTAAGCAATACCATACCAGAAATATCTCTCAAATTGAAAAATACATGCTTGAAACATACTCTACTGATGAAACTGTGAGGACAGGGACACATCTTTATATCCTGCTGGTAGGAGTATAAATACAACGCCATTTGCATTTAAGCCTTGGTTAAGGAAACTATCCTTCCTGCACTTACATGAAATGTCTTACGAACATTAATTTTTCACTACAACATTGTTACTGCAAAAGATCAGAAGCCCAACTGCTCCTTAACAAGTGACTGTAGCTAAACCACAGTATTTGTACAAAATGGAATTTTACATGGACGTGACAAAGACTCATTTCCTATACCCTGACATGGACATCCTTTCAAGATATGTTATTAAGTGAAAAGGCCAAGGTAAGAGAGTATGGGATAGAACGTAACAAACTACCTTAGTTTAAGGTGAGGTGGGGGTACAGTACAAATAGATGTTCATAGTTGCTTGACTGTGCAACACAGAAATACTAGAAGAATACAAGAAATTAAGACTTTTCTTTAGGATGTCGTAGACCAAAATGGGTGGAAGCAAAACTTCTCAGTGCATAAATATAACTGTTGGATCATACATATCTAAAAAATAACAAAATAAAATTTCATTTTTATGGGTTAAAAAAAAATCTCTCACACACACACACAACATCTAGAAAAAGTCCAGTAAGAATAAATGATAGATTGAAAAAATACTAGAAATAGACAAGATAAAAGTTATTCCCTTGGCCCTTTATTTTCAATTAGTAACGATAACTTCTAAGAAAATAGGGAAAGGTGGGAACAAGCAATTTGTAGAAAAAGAATAGAAACAAGTTATAACAATTAAAAGATGTTCTTATTTACTTATGAAGAAAGCAAATAAAAACAATGAAATACTACTTGTACCTCTAAGACAAACAATCAATTACCCTGGTCTACTTTTGGTAGGACTGCAAAGCTGGTAAAGCCTTCTTTGGAGGGCAATTTCACAATATTTATTGAAACATAAAGCATCTGTAGCCTTCACCCCAGCTATCACTTGTAACTCACCCTATGAATATACTTGTGCTAGCCCCTCACGATCTCTGTTCCAAGACAGTGCTTGCAGCATTGTTTTTAATAACAGAAAAACAATCCAAATGTGCATCACTAAGGGTCCTGATAAATAAATCATAGTGCAGCCACAGTGCAATACTGTGCAGGCTGAGGCAGAGTAAAGTTGTCCTAAGTGCTACATAGAAAGATATCAAGATGCAAAAAGCATGAGACATACATATAAAATGAGAGGGTTTCAGATACAACTTATACTTTTTTTCTGTTCAAACTTTAACTATTAATTTTTTTAAAAGCCAGTACTTTTATTTTCGTTTAAGAATAAAAATCCACGTAATTCAGCTATTCCACTTCTGGGTACTTATCCAAGAAAACACTGATATGAAAAGCCACAGGCCCCATGTTTACTGCAGCATTCTTTACAATAGCCAAGACAGAGAAACAACCTAGCTGTGCAAGGACAGATGAGTGGATAAAGAATCTGTAGCTTTCATATACGATGAAACATGATTGAGTTACAAAAGATGAAATCTTGCCATCTGCACCAATATGGAAGATCTAGAGGGTCATTACGCTCAGCAAAATAAGTCAGATGGAGAAAGAAAATTACTGTATGATTTTACTCATATGTGGAATATAAAGGAAATAAAACAAATGAACAAAATAGAGCAAGTACTTAGATACACACGGCCAGCAGACTTGGTGGGGAAGGGGAAGGGGGTGGGAGAAGGCGAAAAGGGCAAAGCGTGTCAAATGCAGGCGATGAGTGGAAACAACTTCAGGCAGCAGTCAAAATACAGGGTTCACAGAGTAGAATTTCAGTGCTGTAAACCTAAACCTTATAATGTTAAAGACCAATATAATATACATAAAATTTCATTTAACCTACAAAATACACTTTGGCGATTGAAGCTGGCCTTCGAACAAGGAGCGGTTTGCACTGTCCAGCTCACTTACATGCAGATTTTTCCCTACCTACAGTCCCACACTCATGGATTCAACCAGCCTTGGGTGTTGGTCAGTTAAATCTGCAGATGCGGAAGCTGTGTAGAGAGAGCCAATTTAAGTCTTAGTAAGAAGTAGGTGCCCTGAACCCTCAGGTGGTTCAAGAATAAACTCTACTGCCGAGTATTTACCAAAGAAAGCAGTTGATCATGTCTACACTCTCCCCCCAACCGCTGTGCAGTAACAGAGCTTCTGATAATCTACATCTGGAGCACACTTGCACACTGACACAAGCTGAATTGTCAAGCTCACAAAATATGCAGCAGGGGGTCCAATACTCATTTCTACAACCATCTCCATGTTTAGTACTTCATAACAACACTCGATCCCCAGCGTGGCCCAGGAGAACGCAATCTTGATTCTGATTCACTACTTCAAAACCCAGCCCTAACCAAATCACTTAGCTGGCCTTTTGAAGAAAGACCACTTGCTTCCCCGTTAGAAGAAAAGTATGTGAGCAAGTAGTAAGGGGAGGGCTATTACATGATTCCACAATGGTGATTCAAACTTAGAAGTGCCACAACCTTTGCGAGGTTGTTAAAACATCTCATTGGTAATTCTAAAGTAGCAAATGCACTCAAGCAGCTTCTAAGTTCTCTACCCAGGGTCTCAATATACATATGCAGTATGTACCACAGAAACAGTTTAGCTGAATTTCTATTCAGTGAAAAGAAAATGTTGGCTTGTCAGAAAAGTCATGACACATTTTTGCTTGAAAAACAGAGTAAGACATCATGATTTTTTTCAACAACCCAATAATTTATCAATTTGTCTACTAATGTCATATCAGAAGAATGGTATTCATGTTGTTAAAGTAATAAAATGAGGTCCTCCCCGGTGGCGCAGCGGGTTAAAGCACAGCACAAAGAAGCTAAAGCCACTTCCGCATGAGTTCGATCCCCGCCTGCCCCGGAGGTGACCACATGGCGCGGCAGACCTCTCCTGACCACCCGCTGCTTCCCTCGGCAGTGTGCTTCGTCCATCTGCCTGTTTTGCTCCCTATGCTCTCAGTGGTGAATCCTCTCACTGCTCCTGCACCTCTGGCTTGTACCCCAGTTCTGTATGCATAAGTAAATAAATCTTAAAAAAAAAAAAAAAGTAATAAAATGAAAATATTTTTAAGACCTCAGTCCAAATGCTTCTATGGCATAGGGGCATGGAATTACCCACAGCCACATGACCGGTTTGGTCCCCTGAGCCAGCTGACAGTGCTGTGTTCAACCTGAAGACGTGCAGAGTACATGGCATGAACAACATCCAGAAACTTCTTGTAGTCCAACTCTCAGGCTACTGGGGGAAAAGGCTTTTGGAGACCAAACATTACAAATACTGGAGGGGAGAATATCATGGTCATGAAAATTATTATTTTTATTAGTCAGAAGCTGTCAAATATTTCATCAGTCACATAAAACTAATTTTAGACTATTCTTACCTAGTTTTATAAATCCACAGTTGCTCATCCACAAAAAGAATTCCATCTGTCCCAGAGAGATGACACATTGCCATAAATGATCTTGATGCAAGTTCACCAGAAGATGGGCTCTGACTTATTTTTCTATTTCTGTTTTTGTCAATAGATTATCTACACTATCTTCTTTCCATTGTTCCCTTTGGACTAAGCAAACACTGAAGGAAAAGTAGGCCAAGTATATTTAATATTTTACGCCAAACAAGTTATTTGGTTAAGATGGCTTGGCCAGCCTCACGTCTGGCACTGACACCCAGCCTGACAGTTCCAGTAGGAATTAAACACCAGTTTTAATGGGTGCTGTGTTCCAATGCCTACTAATGCACTGAGAGTTGCTGGCCAACTTCTTCACATAAAGGCAGGAGTAAGTGTATGTGTGTGAACATGTGTGTGTGCCTACGTGTATGTATGGAGGGATTACGGGGGGGGAGCCGACCACAGCTGCTTAATTTTTGTAAAGCTTGTTGTTTTCCTTTAATAGGGAGGAGGGATGCGGTTACTTACCATCCTCATAAGCCGCTACAGCCAGCGAGCTGTTTATCCTCACAAAGGAGACATATGGCTGCATTCCAGGCTCATCCTCCTCATACTCTGATTCCAGGAAGGGGGCTACGTAGTCCCAGGTGCGGGTGTCCCAAACCCTCACATCCCCTGATGTATATCTGGAAAAGAAGAACACAATCGGTTCCAAAAGGGAACTAAAGAGCAGGCTAGGTGGAAAAATGGTAAGAACTTTAAAACAGAGTGACTGGATTGGAGAGAGACCCTTCCCCAGCACTGTTTAGATGAGGAAGCCCAACAGGAGAAAGATGTCAACTAGATGACAGAAGCTTCAGCATAGCACACTTTCTCTCAGCATAGCGGGAACAATTTCATGAGAGGACTCTAAGAAGAAAATGGGTATCAACGTCACCCTGTTCTTCCTCTTGTGCCGTCACAACCAACCTGCCACCTTAAGTTCTCCAGTAAAGGGATCACTGGCTGAATCTCTGTAATCCACAGTATTTCTACATCAACAGAACACGAAGGACAGACACAGAAAGAGCAAGCTCTCAGGACTAATGGTCTTACAGGCACAAGCTTTCTAATACCTCAGCCGTGCATCAGATTTGACTGATTAAAGTCCCTAAAGACTAATTGATTTGCTGAAACAATTAAATCTTGCCTTTAGCAGCCAGACAATGCTGCCTTCTCATGAAAGACTGTCAAAAAGCAAGGCACTCCCCAGTTTTGCCCACTTAGAAAATAGGAGCACTCACTCTTGTATTACTGCTGCCACTCCAACAAATGACTCTCTCCATCAAAACTGAGGCCAGAGCCCACTCAGCCATGGGCCCAGGATAATGGAACAGCAGGTGATGAGGTGGTCACTGCCTGCCACCTAGGTGTTCATGCTAAGTTCCAGATATCTGCTATAGAGGGTTTGGTTCAACATTGTAAAGCAACTGTGGAGAAACAAGTTCAAAATACCAAAGAGTCTCCTGGTGGTATAGCCACACAAAGACAGGAAAACAATTTTATGGGGTTTCACAGTTTTCCTGAGCCCAAGTATCTTTTTTTTTTTTTTTCCAGATTTCTGTAGTCCCATGTAAAAAAGTGTAAAGAGTTGAACAAAACCTCTGAAACCTATCTATCACTGAAATCTAGGGCACGGTACACGGTGCCCTACTGATGAACTTCTCATGTGGTTTTTTTTTTAGATTTACTTATTTACATATACAAGAGCTGGGGTACAGGCCAGTGGTGCAGGATGAGAGGAATCACCAGAGACAGAATGGGGAGCAGAATAGACAGAGCTACTGAAATACACTGCTGAGGGGAGCAGTGAGTGAGACAGGAGAGGTCTGCTGACCATGTGGGTCAGCTCCCTGGCAAGGGATAGAACTCGTACTGCAGTGGCTGCAGATTGCTTCATAGTGCTGCGACTTAACCCCTTGAGCCACCAGGAAGGCCCCTCGCTTGGTACTTCTTAATAAAGAAATTAAGAACACTGATTCAGGATTATTTTGTTTATTCAACATAGTTGCTTTCCCCTCAAATTACTCATTGAAGTAAATACATGTATTAGGTAATTCAGAGGTCCTGCTGTCACACCAACTTCCTGGTTAGTGAGGTAGGCTCTCTACCTGAGGATTGCACCTAGGGAGCAAAGAGCCAAACAGGAGAGGCATTTTCTAAAATCGGGCTGATGGGCCTCTGACTACGCATCCTCCAGTAAACAGAAGTACTCACTCCCCGAGCGTCATTAGCTTGACAAGGTGCAGAGACTGGTGTCACCATGGCCAAAGTGGTGCTGGGTCCCAGGCCTCCAAATGACCCTTCCTTATGAAGAACCCTATCCTTAATATACAGACAGACACTCTGCTGAGCCACAATACCCCAGATAGTGTCCCCTGAGCAGAGACACTGGGGTAGGCTCACCTTGACACCCCAACAACAACTTGGGCTATTCCCTGAAGTAAATCCACTTGCTTAGCTACAGAGACACTGGGGAGAGAGAACATGTTTGAATTTCTATACTGTGTGTGATCAGATTCTGCAGTTAAAGTCTATGGGAAAGGAAGCGGTCAATCCAGAAAAGATGAGAAAGATGGCAATGTCTTTCAGAATTACAAACAAGGTGAGTAAAAGCCAAAGAAAGGAAACTTATGAGATCAAAGAATGAGGAAACAGAAAAAGTGTACAAACCAGGCAATGTGCTTCCTTTTCACTGGTCTTGATCGCTCTCTATGTAGCGAGCATGCAGCTGTCCACATGGTCCCTGTGGCGCTCCTTAAAGGCCACAGAGGAGAGCAGACACTGGTAAAGAGAAATGGGTTTTGTGGCCTTGAGCTCTAGAACCCCTTTACACAAGCAATCATGAGCAGAGCAAGAATACAAAAACAAAATCTGAAGACTGCTGAAGCATACAACGGCAACCTGTGAGATGAATTTGTTGACTTTACTCATGATTTAGGGAAGAGGGAAAAGGGAGGACAGAGATTTCATAGAGAAGGTTCCTAATGAGTTTTTTTTCTTCCAAAAAATCCTCTAATTCATGCTGGGACTCCATACCTCTACAATAAACACTCTCTTCTCAGAAAGCTCCAGCTCCCTGCTAGAAGTCTATTGTTGAACGCCTTCAAGGGCAGCACTGGGGCAAAGCTGAGGGGCCTGGCACCTCCTCTGCCACCATTCTACCCAGCCCAGGTACCATCTGTGCCGCCGTGTCCACTCCCTTTCTGTTCTCATTCCTGGTGCCACCACCTGCTCTAAATTCCGCCATGCCCTGGAAGAGGCACAGTGAAGAGCAGCCACAAAGCTAGCCAAGTCAAGCTCTGGTGGAGGTCAACAGTGGAGGCAGGATTTTCCAGGCCCCATGCCCTGATGTCTTGTGGGGTGATGTAAAGAGGTGGGCTGCCACTTAAGACTACTGACGAGGAGGGGTGTCCATAGAGAAGCCACCAGCTTGCCACGTGTGACTTTGGCATGGGCCCTGGCCTCTGCTCAGGGAACTCTAGCTGAGGTAGGACAAACAGCATCTAGTCAATATGCCAGCCTGTAATTTCTCTCTTTCTTTTCTCATTCCTTACATAAATAAATCTTGCTGCCATTGTTTCTTACCATGCATCTGCTTCTGAGTTATGTCCTCATCTCCAGTCAGATGTGTCAGTGAAGACCCATCAACCAGGTCAACCTGGTGCCCTAGGTTTGTCCAACTCAGCCTGACAGCCTCACCATGACAGCCTCCGTGCTTCTCAGCCTTTGTTTTGTCTACATGCACCCTCAAAAACACATGACGACATGAATCACACTCCGGGAAAGCTCTCTTTCTCCCTTACATGCCACTCTAAATCATGCCCACTGTGAGCAATCATGACAGCAGCCTGCGCTTCTCTCTGGTGGCAACTGTGTGTATGATTCCCTGCCTTTTTATCTCCCCTATGCATCTATACACCTTTCAAGTCAGGGGCTGAGTTGCTCACAGTAGTGGGCTAAAGCAGACTAGAGCAGCACTAGACATCTAGGAAACCCTTCTAAATACTTAGCCTTTAACATCTTATTGAGAGAGGTTTCAATTACTGGGTGTAGCACTGAAAACACTATACAAATACCTTCCTTCCCTCTCCCTGGTCCACTTCCACTCTCGCTTAGCATGAGCTGGCCTCCAGGTAATCCTGCGTCACTTGCTTCCAAACACTCATTTCTGAAACTTGGCTTACATTATCCATCCTTCCAAATGCCTTTCCTCCTCATAACCCAGCCCAGTGAATCCCAATTTTGGCTGCACATTAGAATATGTTTTTCAAACTCAAGATATCCACATACAACATTCCTCTGACTCTCAGCAGTTACAACCAAGCATCAGGGTTTTCAATGTGCAGTCATGTCTGGAGACCACAGACCTAGCCTAAGCTAACCCACTCCTCAAATCTAGCACAGCCCTCCTCCCTTGAAGTCTCTGACCCAAGTCCTATGGCTTGTAGCTAAAGAAATGCTATAGTGCCCATCTCCTCAACCAGACGGCAAAGCTGCTAGGAGATCCTATCTCGTGCTACAGCATCTTCACAGTGCCTTTCATACATCCTGTAAGTAGTAAGTGGTGACTGATGGCAAGTCCACAAGTAACAACCCAGCTTGGCTGAGTTCTGAATGATATCTCCTTTTATTTCCACCATCAACATCTTATGCTAAGTAAACACACACACACAAAACACAAAAAAATAAACACCCAGAAATCACACCTCAATATGCACTAGACTTGTGTTTATTTCTAAACTGATTTAAAAGCTATCTCTATAGTACACGGGATTAGCTCAATTACTTTGGTAAACACGAATTTTTCCATGACATTCATTTAAGTTAACTGCATACTTCATGGTTAAACAGAATTATAACATAAATGTTCTGTTGCAAAATGACTCTTATGGTAAAATAAAAAAAGACTTTATGTGTCCTTTAAAATGTAATCAAAGGAAAAAGATCCTGTTTCATCAGGTACTATGTGATGACTCAGCAGTAGGCTCTAAAAGCTAAAATAAGTGATAGCAACCGCAGCAGTGGAGATCAGACCCAGACAAGACTAGTGAACCTGTCCTCGAGAAAGACATTTTCATGAGGGTGAAACACTGGTTGGGGCAGCGGGGCCTGGACCAAGCCCTAAATGTGATCTAAAAGCACTTAGCACTGGCCAGGAGAAGCAAGAATAGATGTTGAAGGGAGGTAGGAAAAGGGATGATTTTCCTCCAGAGCTCCAGATGTCTTTATCGCTGCCTAATGACAATTACACTCAGCCAATTAAGACACCACTATGACAGTTGCATTGTCAGTAAGCCTCTGGACCTGATGTTGATGGCGCTCTAATTAGTGTCTGTGCAAAATGCAACTGCAACTAATATATTAGCGGATGTAAAAAAAAAAAACAAAAACAACAACAACAACACTATAAAGAAAAACTGAAGAAGTCTTTTCCAAAGAAGAAGGTTGTCCCATCAGATGGCATGGGCCAGTGAAACTGTATGCCTTCCCAATCTTTTTATGCTTGGCAAGGTTAAGTTTACCTCCAAATAAATAGGTCAGAAACCACAGCTGATTTTTTGTTGAAAGAATGGGAATACTGCCTCTTTAAAGCTTGGCATGCCAGAGCAATTGCCAATTTAAAATGATTTACCACCAAAGAGCT